AAATCTTGTGAATTTTGAAATATTTAAATTTTTCTAAAAGTTTTCACCGATAAATCTTGCGAAACAAGATAAAATGAAGTAATAATAATAAAAAAAAAAAAAAGAATGAAGTCGTGGAGGGGCCATTTATGTAAGTTTGCTTATGCGTATCAGAGTATCGGCGCACCTCCCTACGCAATATTTGTATACTTTTGTTGTGTTGTATAGCAGCTCCCAAAAACTAGGTCTCCAGCTCCCAGCGACTTCTCTTTCACACAAAGAGAGAGGAAGGGAGGGAGGGAGAAAGGGAAGAAGAAAGAATCAAGAATTATGCCGACGTTCACGACAATTGCTCTCGAAAATCTACTAGAACATAGAAATCCGAGCACGAATTCGTCGACTCTCAAGAGCCAACAACCCTCCACCAACAAACCTAACTATCTTCAAAATCATGTAGAACAAAATGATGAAGCTAAAGAGGAGGAGAAATTGAAAGCAAGGAAGAGATTGAATCACATCTACATATCACCTGCTCTCTACACGACTCCAGAACCTACTCCGATTTTGGATTATTCTTCATCTGGCTCTGTCTCGTCCTCGCCGTACGTGTTTAATCGGAAGGGGCGTGGTGGGGGAAACTCCGCCAATCGGAGAGTCGATGGGTTTGAGGTTCAGGGAAGTGGGGCCCAGTCGGTTGGAAATGAAGCTGAGACGTTGCCTGATGGGGAAGACGAATTGGTTGAGAGTAGTTTGATTGGAGGAGGGGGTGAAAATGGAAATCGTGGTGAGGTTGAAGGTGAAGGTGCGGAGGATGATGATGACTTTGTAGATCCTCGATGTGAGTCGTTCAGTGTTGCTAGCTCGAGCGACCTGAATGATTCTGGGAGACTAGGGCTTGAGAATATGAGCGTCATTTCTAATCAAATCGGGGAATTCTATGACGCCATTGAAGGTAAACAAAACGTTTCTTTAAACCTGGTTGACTTGTGTGCTCCTGCTCTAGATTTGATTTTATGTTATTTCTTGCCTACTTCATTTCTGAGTTTTCCTCGATGGTTTGTTCAAAGTAAAGACTAGAACATATAAACCCTAATCCCTTTTCCATCTTTCCAGAATTTTCTAGCAATTAATTTCAGGTTTTGTTCCATTGGCATAAGTTCCAATCCCAATCAAACACAGTAGAATCTGCTCTTATTGAATCATACTTCTATTGATTCAACAAATAGTAATATCATCTAAACACAAACTGTAACTTTTGACACAGATTTCTCCTCGGATGGATCTATAATGAGTTTAGCTTCATGTAGCCGCAACCTAGAATCAGAGTTGCACACCACACGAATCACTCTAATTGATGAAATTGAGAAGCGGAAGATCGCCGAACACGAACTTGCTACAATGCACACTCAATGGCAGAAAATCAGCAAGATTCTACTATCTCAAACTGTCTTCAAGTTTCTTGAAACACCTTCAAGTGAAGGTGTTTCTATGCAGTTTGACATTAATGAAATGAAGCAGTTTTCTCAGGAAGTTGTTTATGCTCGATTTGTGTCAGAAGCCATGGCAAAGGCTGAAGCTCAGGCGGAAGCTGAGCTGGCAGCAGAGGTGGTGATAGGATCCAAAGATAAAGAGATCTCCAGGTTGAAAGACAGGCTGCAATACTATGAGGCTATGATCCATGAAATGTCCCAAAAGAACCTTGAATCTATGGGTATGAATATGATCCCTTATATCCATGAAATGTTTTAAATTCGGATTTATTTAAATTCCTTTTTATATAAAATATATTTGATTTTTGCAGAGGTGGCAAGAAGGCAGAGAGAGAAGAAAAAGGGGTATAGAAAATGGTTATGGAGCTGTATAGGAATGTCCATTGTTATTGGAGCTTCTGTGATTGCTTACTCATATGCTCCACCTACTACTACTACTACTAATACCACAGAGTCTGAATCTGGACATGATTAGTGGTTTTATTCATCAATCTTACTTGTTTACATGTCAAATAATGCAACAAAACATTGAGGGGTGATTATGACCAAATGGTTGCCCAAAAAAATTGAAGTTCACAATTTTGGTACTGATTACAAGTAGTTGGATTTGGTTGGATCTTTAAAAGGGTTTAATACTGACGTGATAAAGTTTAGGTTGTAGATGAAATGGATTTAATGAAAGAAATGCTTTTGGCATGCTATTCATTTGTTTTTTTTTTGTGTGTTACATGGTGTTTAGTTTATGTATGATTTGTCAAAATATTGCTTCTAATCAATCATGTTAATGCAAGGACCTCTTTTTATTTGGGAGATCCGATTTCAATGTGGATTGAGCTCTTTGTGGCGATAGGTGTTGTTGATCTTATGTAGAATTTAGAGCATCCACAACAGTATAATTTTTTTATAAAGTTGAAAAAGGTCATATTGTAAATGCTTTACAATAGGTGAAGATTTGTAATTGCTTTTTCAAAATGAAAGCTTTTGAAAAAACTCATATTGTAAATCCTCTAACAATGAATATACATGATGTTTTTGAACAATGCAATTTGGGCTTTAGGCTTTTAGCAGCCACAGCATGAATTTCAATTCCAACGTATGAACGTAACTTGGGCTTTTTTGAAACTATTGTATCCTTGTTTATATCTCACGTGACACTTTTGAACAGAATAAATTTGTCCTCTTTTTATCTTGTTTATGTCATAAATGATGGTTTTAAACAATGTAAGATCCTATCCTCCTTTTGTCTTGGCAAAAACAAAGAATTTAAATCTTATTCAATTCTAATTTGGATTGGATTTCTTGTGGGTATTTTGCTATTGTTCTTGTGTAATCAACCTAGGAAATTGCTAGGGAAATGATAAAACTTGCCATTGGAATGGGATGGTATTTGCATGAGAACGACCTTTTTGCAAACACCATCTAATCTTTTTGTATATACCAATACTTTCTTGGGTAGTTGTGACCATGGGGACATGGCTAGTTGCCAAAGTGTATTGGTTTCATACAAGGTTCATTGTTATTTTTTTTTTCACTATTAAATGTTATCTGGATAAATAACATTTAAATTTTTTTTTAAGATGATATTACACTAGCAAAAAATATGAATGCAAAAATATATGGTAATTTGGGATGAGAAACAATAGTTGGAACTGAATTGGAACCAATTATGCATAACATTCTCGGTTTTTCTCTAAAAGTATTTAAAATTTTCAATAATATATATATATATATATATATATATATATATATATATATATATATATATATATATATATATATATATATATACTTTTAAACATAAAGAAATAGCTAGAAAAATCCCTAAACTATATGACCTTATTAACGAAAAAGTTATCCTTCATTTTTTATTTGCAATTAAGCACAGGATACCCATAAACATTTGCAAAATGGGTATTATACTCAGTTTACCGTATTAACGAAAAAGTTATTCCTCATTTTTAATTGTCTGAACAAGATGTCAAATCCATGCATTATTAACATTCAAAATTAGACATCTATTTAATCGTTGTGTCATTTCTTTGAGGATGGGATCTCAGGTCCGTTAGCTGGAAGGCTTAAATTTTTCCTATGTGAACCAACATTAAAAAAAAATTAATAATAATAATAATAATAATAATAATAACAACATTTCCCGTAAAGCTCTTTAGTTGGGTTGAAGACGTAGCTTAAGGCTAACCCACGCGTCTTGCCGATGTGTCCGGCCTAAGGACGCGTGAATACCGCCCCTAAGGCCGGTGGTTTGGGTCTGGCCATGTGGCGTGGATGGAAGGATGGACGAAGACGACAAATAAGAAAGCAGCAGCAACAAATGATCCTTTTTCCCCCTTTTCCTTTGTATCCATAGAAGTAAAAAAGAAAATGGTAATCGAGGGTGAAGAAGACAACCAAAACGTAAATAGGAGGACATTCATATTTGCTATAATTGAAGTTATAAATTTGGTCTAGGAGGTTGTGTCTTTTAATTTTATTATACCCTCTCATTTTTATTTGAATAAGTTAAACATTCAACTATATATAACTATATATGTTTATTTAATTTGAAAAATTAATAAAATGTTTATTTGATTTTTTAATTAGCAAAATGATTACTTCAGTTTATAATTATGTTTTTTTTTTATTTAATCTAATGTTAAAAAAAATAAAAAATATAAATATAAATGATGTGAAGTGGTAATCATTTCCAATATCTAGTGAGTAAATGATGGGTTGGTGATGGAGCTAACGTTAGGCCTGGAATCGTGTCGTGTTCGGGTTGGCGTGTCACGGGTTGGCGGGTTGACGGGTCAAAATATACCAACCCAAACACGACCCATTTATATATACAGGTCACAGGTTGATGGGTTTGAAACATAAACCCATATATGACCCGCCAACCCATTTATTTATACGAGTTCACGGGTTGGCGGGTTTGTAGGTTAGATTCCATAAATAAACTTGAAAATTAAACATGATTAAATTGTTGATGGTTGATGCAAACATATCCAAATTTTAGACACTTAAGTTTTAAACATCCAAATAAAAATTAAAAATATTCATAGAAACATGTTTAAACTAAACATTAATACAAACATAGATAATTCAAGTGGTGTATGAATCAATGGTATATATATTATATAATACTTATTAAATATTAATACTTGATACATAAATACATTTAAAAATAAAATATAATTTTTTTTATTAAAAATATAAACGGGTTGGCGGGTCAACCCGTTAATTTTTTTAGAAACCCATATATGACCCGTTTAATAAACGGATTGACGGGTTGGCGGGTTGACGGGTTAGCGGGTTGAAAAACTCAACCCAAACCCATTTATTTCGTGTCGTGTTACGGGTCGTGTCGCGGATCGTATCGAGAATTGCCAGCCCTAGCTGACGTGACATTGAATTGGCAACTCGATACTTTTCGGATGGCTTGGATGCGACCACTACCCGTAGCATAAAAGAAAGCAAACCTTTTTATTCATCTTGGGAACAAAAAGATTAATTACAATTATCAAACCAATTTCATTGTTTGATGTTTATCCTTGTCCAGGTTTGCTTTATTTTATCTTCCCACATTCTGAAGTTTATAATTATACAGGATTTCAACTATTGCTTAACGAAACATTAAAAAGACTAACCAAACATACATCGCTGAATCTTGTGGCTCTAATTCAAAACAGTTAAATATAAAGAAAGCAATGTAATCTCAAAAAAATAAAAAAATACCACCACCTTAGGGTAAGATAACATAAGGCTAATAACATATGTAATGAAAATTTGAAATATTAGAAGATGTGTAACAAAGATGCAGTTAGACAACATCTGTACTACTGAGTTGACCCAAGTGCAAGATCGTGCCAAATATCTCCATCCGCTTGTGGTGCCTCATGATCTGATAAACAAAATGATCTTATCAAAGTACATAAATACAAAGCAACTTATAAATGATAATGAAAATTTGTTCTTTGTTTGACACAATGGAATGGAGTGGAGTATTCCATTATTCTGTTCATTACATTCCATTCGATCATACCAAAGGCAAACAGACCCTAAGAACATCAATGGGGCAAAATATAGAGAAAGCTGATAATGAATTTTGGGAAGGTTTTCTGGTTTTTACAGCGTCAATGGAGTTCAAAGAATGCTAAACCATGCAAGTTTTGTTCAATTGATAGATAAATACTAACAACCTAATCCAAACAAGACATGCGATTCAGTTATTCAGTCGTAAATAAAGCAGATACCAAAAAAAACCCTAAGAAGGTAAATAGATAGAAATATTTGTTTGTTAACAACAAGAGAAAACATACTGGAATCTTCAGCATCATCATTCCGAGGGACGAGTGATGGGGGTAATGCGAGATCTGTTAAAACAGAGTATCAACCATTTAATTTAAGCATAATTTCTCCAATTTCATGAAGCTTTTAGTACTTCAAGAAAGAAAGTGAAAGAAGTAAAGTACCATCGTCAGGAAGAGTATCTCTCATCCATTCGTCGTCGACGACGTCAATTAAAATCCCTAGGGTTAACTCTTGTGCCATTCTTGGGCCCTAATTACATCATTTACAAAGGGAAAGAAGATGAAATTAGTTTCCAATGATACATCGTTGTTATGCAAATAGATTAGTCAAAGAATCGAACAAGTAGAGCTTACAGTGGGGTTGTCGTGGATGAAGCTTCACAGCGGAGAAAAAAGTTGGATAGAAAGGGGGGAATGAATTGTCTAGTTGAATTTTTCTAGGAGGGAGGGGGAAGGGATTTGAAGAAAATGGAGAATAATTGCAAAAAGGGAAAATGATCCGAGTCTTACACTAGTTGAAGCAAAGCTAAGCAAAGAAAAGAAAAGAAAAGAAAGGGAGAAAAAATAGGAAAATAAATTTATCCTCCGGAAAGAAATGGAATAAAAATTAAACATTTTATTCTTTCTTTCCGAATCCTCCCAAATCGGAAGGAAAGTTAGGAGGGAAGTGATCATTTCATTTCCTTCCACTTCCTTTCTTTAGTGAAACTCGGAAGCATCAATCTCTCTTACTTTCCTTTCGTTTCCATTCATTCCCTTTTTTTTTCTCTCTTTAAGTTGAACTTAGGAGCGGCATATAAAGTATCGTTTTTGTTCTATCTAGTCTTTGTTTCATCATTTACTATTGAACTTGTCCTAGATGTTTAAAAAAATATCTTTATTATCGGTTATTGAAGGTTTCAGGCGACTTTGTCAACTCCAACGACTCTTCGGTCATCTTCTTTCATGAGTCTCTAACGAACATTAGTTTTCCGGTGATTTCAAACATTTTCTTGAAATCATTTAAACCAAAATACACATGTCAGATTTGTAGGTCCTTAAATTGTAGTTCAGAAAACCAAGAACTTGCCGGAAAAAACAAGAAATCACTTAGGGATGAAAACTAAGAACATGCATACATGAGGTTTGAGGGTTCTGAAAATAGATGAACACACTCCTAAAAATGATTTCTAGATGTACACACTCCTAAAGTCTGGAGTCGTCCCTTATGCCCGGATCACCACCTTCATGTCATGTGTTCGTCTTCACCTCCACTGTCTTAAGTCACCTTTATCGGAGTTCTAAACTACCAGTGAGTTATTTTCAATGCTAAACCCTAATGTCATCGAACCTATGTTGGTTCGAGGGCTAGAGTTTTCAAGTTCGAGTGTTAGGGTTTTTTGGCAGTGGCAGCCACACTAGGCTAGCTAGGTTTTTAAGATCAAAGTCGTCGCTAGTAAAAGGTGTAAGGATTTTCCAAAGTGGAGTCATCGATGTAATCATCTCTCGGTTTCTTTCTCTGACAAATTCGACATCGGATACTACTAGGATTCTGGTGGCTGAATATTATTTCTTTTTTCATCAATGTTTGGTTCATCACCAACAAAGTCTAGTCAACCACCAACGAAGTCTGGTTCATCTGTGCTTCATCAACGTGTGTCGAATTCCGACGAAGTCCTTAGCAAAGTAACCAGGCACTTGGAGAATGTGCTCCACCGTTGGAGATGCGCTCCTCCTAAAGCATAGAGAATGTGCTCCTAACATGGAGAATGCGCTCTTGATGTAAAGAATGTGATGTTGGGTCAGAGAATACATTGGATAGATCATGGAGGTTTAAGGATATGTTGCTTGATGTTGATTGTGCTCCATGCATAATGAATATGTCTTACGCATGAAGAATGTATTGCCTAGGCGCATGGCATGTGGTCATACACACCCCTCAAGGTTGAAGATTCTTGAAGCAACTACATGCCATCTTGTAATTAACTAATTCCTTTTAGGGCCTAATTATGGATATGCATTGCCCATTAGATTTAGTGTATCCCTATGTTTGCCTATAAATAAACACACATCTCCATCAACATTCTTATGCTAGATATGTTTGTCCAAATTTTAAGAGAGCAATCATTGTGAGGATAAGAACATATCCACCAAACCATATTAAATATTGTGTTTAGGTTTATAAGTTTTTGATTTTTGATTTTCAGAAGTTATTTTGCTTCTTTTTACCGAAATTGGTTATCATTTTTCTAAAATTGCTTAACTTGTTTTGTTGTTTTCCAAATAGTATGTTGTTATGAAGCTCTCGTCATGAAAAAAAACCAATCAAATATTACATAAACATATATCAAATGATGAAAAATAATGTTTAATTTAACATAAATGACATACTAGTTCTCATTATATTTTTGCAAATTCTAATTTCTTTTATAAATACATATTTGTAAATAAATGTTATGTAACTATATACATAATTATAGAAATATTTATTATGTTTTTGTTCGATTTTTGTTTAAAACGAGGTATTGAAATTTATTCCAAGATTTTAACTCTATGCCTAATCCGGTATGCTTCTAATTTTCCCTTCGACCAAAATTTTCATGGGCTAATTACTAATCTAGCCAAATTAAAGGGGGTAATTAGCAATTTTTAGCCAAAAATTAATAGATAGCCAAAAATAGCCCACGAAACTGTAGTTTTCGAAATTCGCCTACTGTTTCGTCATTTCATCTACTGTTTTGCAATTTGTATAAAAAAAAAACATTTTTTCACATACAAAACCGTAGGTAATATATAACCTACGGTTTTCTCTCTAATAAGTACGGTTTCCCAAACCGTAGGCTACGGTTTTGGAGAAAAAATCTACGGTTTCTTTTATCTATTATTTTAGGGGGTTTATCTACTATTTTGTCAAAAAAAATATTGTTTTTTTTTATCTACTATTTTGGGGGTTTTATCTACTATTATTTCCAAAAAACTACGTTTTGGTTATTAAAAAAAATTACAAAACCGTAGGTTTTTGGGAAACCTACGGTTTCGTTTTTTTTTTTTTTTTTTTACAAGTCGACAATGCACAATTTGTGCATTGGGCACTTGTACACCGTAGGTTTCGTATGAAACCTACGGTTTTATATATTTTTTTTATTCATTTTTTTTTTCAAAAACAATTACGGTAAAATTTTGATGAAAAGTAGACAAACTTGGTTGTTTTTCGGGTGCTCCATTGAGAGAAAAAGTATACAAAACAAAGAAAACAATAAAAAAAATGGCCTAATAAAAAAAAAAATTATTTATATACTTTGGGCTAATGGGCTAAAAAAAAATAAACGGACCCATAAAACATTAGCTCATTAGCAAAAAAAAAAAATAGTTTTCTCAATAGCAGTCAACTGCGTTGACCATAATCAAACTAGGATTGACTACAGTTTTGTGGACTATTTTTGGTTAATCCGTATATTTTTGTTATTTTTTAATAAGTGATTAAGAAAAATGACTAAATTAGTAATTTTCCCAATTTTCATGGTGTTAATGGCTTAAGAATTTTCATTCCAGAAACTTCTACGTTTCTTCATGATTTCAAATCTCCAACTCTCTGTAAACCCAACGATTCAAAATTCACATGGCGAGAATCACTTCCATCCTCTTCTTCAAGCTCAAACATCAAACTCTCTTCTCCTCCACCTCCTTATTCCGCCACCACCTCCCACCGTTAACCGTCCCCATTCCACCCACACCCCCAAACGAATACTTCTTTTCCCGACTCTTCAACAGCACCACCACTACTTCCTCTCAACAAACAACCACCCCAAAGCGCAACACCAAGGTAAACTTCTCACTCTCCGACTCCGAATCCGACGATGATTCCCAATCGCCACCAACGCCAGCCGTGAAAGAGATCGACAAGAGGAAGCTACCGCCACCGTACGACCCATTTAAGAAAACCCCAGTAATCCAAGAACCCGATGACCCCACAAATCTCCAGGAAGTGTTTCACAAAATACGCACAGAAGGTCTCAACGATAGTGCAGTCAAGATGTTCGACGGATTGTCTAAAGACGGACTCACCCACGAAGCGCTTGAATTGTTTTCCCAGATCAAAGATAAAGGCCAGATGCCGGACGTAGTGGCGCACACGGCTGTTATCGAAGCGTACGCCGCCGCTGGTAAAGCTAAAGAAGCCCTGAAGGTGTATACGCGCATGCTTGCTTCCGGCGTCCTGCCCAATGCCTACACTTACTCGGTGTTAATCAAGGCTCTGGCGGGGTCCGGTGACCAGAAATTGTTAGGGGAAGCGAAGAAGTATTTTCTGGAGATGATGGGGAAGGGGATTAGACCGAATCCGGCGACATGTGTGGTGGTTATGGAGGGGTTTGTGAAGGGAGGAAAGGAAGAAGAAGGTAGAGAAATAGTGGTGAAGATGAAGACCCTTGGAATGGCTCCTGATGAAAAGGGTGTGAGAGAGATTTTGAAGAACAAAAGAGGTCAGGTTTTTCGATCAGTTATCAACATTTTATTTGAAAGCTGAAATGAGTTAAAACATAGAGAGATTACAAGTCGAAAGACAATGTCGAATGCAAAACCTTGGTTTTTGTGACGCATCTATTCAAATTTGCAGTTTAATTTTATGATGATTGATATATCTTGGGTAAACACTCATTGATTAATAACGAATTCAAGAAAATCACTTTGATACATAAAACGTAATTAGACAACAAACATGTCACACTCAATAAGACAAAAATCAAGAATCCGAAGGGGAACACATGGAAAAAGCTGCTGCTACATAAAGATAATCTTCCGATTTTTCCCTCAGATTTCTGTAGCATCATGGTTATCCACTTTTTCCCATTTTGACCAAGATCCAAAGCACACCACACCACACCGACTGCCAGGGCGGCAGTTGGTGGCTTCCTCCACCCTTTTTCACCGGAGCAATGATGGTTAACACTTGAAGAACAGAAGAGCATCAACTAATTAATAGTCTTGCTTCTTAGGGCATTCAGATGCCCTGTGCCCTGACCTCCCACAGTGGAAACAAGGACCCGCAAGATTTCTGTTTTATTCACACATTCATTCAGTATAACCCTCGGATTTTACTTGTATAAAGTTGGCCAATGAATAAATATAATAAATAGCAACCTACTTCTGTTATTTCTTTATTATATTATTCTAATTTCATTTCTTCCCATTACAAGGCCTTTAAAAATCTACCCAATTAGTTTTACAAGTAATGTCCCGATAAAAATAAACCGAAAGTATATGATGTCATAATTGGGTGGAATTTTTAATGTAAGATGTATCAATATTTTTTTTAAAGTACAATGTTGTACTACCTGTCCCTATTTCCAAATGATGGAGAGCGTGAAGATGAAGATGAAGATCGTCTCTCGCCAATCAACCAATCACTTCCACCAGTGGTTGTCCTCGACCCTCCACCAGTTCTAGAGCCTCCTCCACTTGACCAACTACCACCACCACCACCACCTCTACCGCCACTCCTACCGCCTTGCCGGAAGTTATCCCCTCCACCACCGGATGAGAATCGACTATTACTACCCCAACCTCGGGACCCACCGGAACCTTCCCTTCTTGAACCTCCACCACCTCGTGAACTTCTCTCCCTGTTTGAAAACCTTCCATAAAAATCACTCGCTGGACCATTGTCTTCCAATGCAGGCAACTGCAATTCATATCCGTTATATATTTATCTTCAATACGACAAATTAACAAAAACAAAAATAACAGATACATTTTCCAAAATCGAAAAATTAACTTCACCTTGTTAATTTTTGTAATAGTGGTGCCAGGTGGCATCACCTTAGTTAGTAGATTTTTAGCAATCTCTTCGGGAAGATCAAAAACAGCACCTTGAACCTGATGACAAAAAAAATATATATATATATATATATATATATATATATATATATATATATATATATATATATATATATTACAAAAAGCAAAAATCTTATATCTGGTAGGGCCCACCACCAACTGTTATTTTTATACCTTTTTATCTGCAATCACATGTATTTTTCCAAGTGCACCAGCAGCCGTAGCATACACACTAGACAAAAATCCAGTAACCGTTCTAGCAGACATGTACCCTTGCAACGACGACTCAGAATCCCGCGTCATTTGCAACGTCATCCATCCCTATCACGCAAAATTACAAAATTACCCTTAAATAAAACATAACAAAAATCAAAATAAATATACCTTTTCATGTGTGATTAAAGAACGGGAAGATGGTGGTTGGGAGAAACCGCTCATGTGTGCAAGGGCTGCAGCGAGAGCACGTGTACCCTTTTCATCAATTAGCTTTTGGGCAGTTGGAGTGAAGAATTCTATGGAGTCATTATGAACACATGAAAGGGTAGCGATTACTTGTTTGACTGAGGAATCCAATAGATCTTCGACAGCTGGCGGACTTATATATTCAAATTTGCATCCAACATCTTGCTCCAGAGATCTAACGGTTCTCCTTTGATTATTTGTGTACATCAAAATCGCCTTCCCTTCCTTTCCTGCGCGCCCCGTTCTACCTGATCGATGCACAAAAGTTTCCGGATCGTTCGGTAGTTCGTAGTGGATAACCTAAGTGCAAGAAATAGCAACCTACTTTCGTCATTTTATTGATTTAGTCGATTTAACTATTTTATTTTAAAATAATAATTAGATTCATAGTTCGGTGGCTAAATCGATAAAATAAAATAGTTCGCTACAAGAGATTAAAAATGGTGAAAGTACATTACATTGAATATAATAATGATAATTACAAGATATAATAAATTAAACAAAAGAAGCATACCAAATCAACATTGGGTATATCAAGTCCACGAGAAGCAACATCTGTAGCAACAAGCACTGTAAACTTTCCTTGTCTGAATCCATTCAGTGTTCTTTCCCTTTGATGTTGAGATATGTCACCATGTAATGCCTCTGAAACAATACTACTAGTCAACCCCAATGACACCTCATCTGCATCCCTTTTTGTTTGAGTGAAAATAATTGTCTTCCCACCCTTTGCATATACCTAAATCCATATCTCAACCTTTTAAATATAAGATTTTTCATTACTCAAAATAATAATTAAAAAAAAAAATTAATGGTCATACAGTGACAAGATCACCAAGCATTGACCGTTTTGAAGTTGAGGTGGATTGTATAGCATAGAGCTTGATACCTTCCGCTAGCTTCTCATCTTGATCACCAACCTTTTTTAATAAGCATCATGACATATTTTAAGACAAATAAGAAGAAAATATTATGTAAATTGGAATGTTAACATGTCAAAAAAAAAAAAAAAAAAACTGACCAAATCAATAGTCAAGGGGGACTTCAAATATTTCCTTGAGAGTTTTTGAACCCAACCAGGCATAGTTGCTGAAAAAAGCATGCTTTGTCTTTGTGAAGGAAGTTTTTGTAAAATAACTTCAACATCTTCCTCAAAACCAACCGCAAGCATTTGATCAGCTTCATCAAGAACCAAGAATTGAACTTCCCCTAATTTCAATATATTACTATTCACCAGGTCAATGAGTCGACCGGGTGTCCCAACCACTATATCAACCCCACGACTCAGTTGGTTTTTTTGTAATGTGTAAGACACACCACCATACACACACACTGTTTGTAAATAAGGTGCAGATTCTTTGATTTCATTTTCTACTTGCTTTGCTAATTCTCTTGTAGGTGCTAGAACTAAAACTCTTGGCATTCGTCCCACAATCCTTTAGATAAAAAAAAGAATGAAAAAAAATAGTTAGATCCTATAAATTATTGGGATAAATAAATACAAAGTGTATATTGAAAATTGTTTTGTATTTGAAGTGAAAGTATGTTTTTATATAAAAGAACATTTTATTTATTATTTTTTTGCATAGGTACCTATTTCGAGTTTGTTCATCCTCTTCGGTGAGTTTTTTGATAATAGGAATTGCGAAGGCTAAAGTCTTCCCTGTTCCTGTTTTTGCACGACCAATAATATCTCTGCCTTCTAATGCAGGAACCAAAACGGCTCTCTGAAAATCCAAAAATTAATATCGCAATTAGATTTCGACAAAAACAACCTTAAAACAATTGTAATCGCAAAATACTAAGATTTTTGGATACACGTTTTGAAATTGAAAGGTGTAATAGATGGTATTATGATGTGATTTTGCTGCTTTTTGGAGCGTTATCACGTTTAATCGTAAGATAACACATTTTTAACAATGGATATGTTGAAAATGACAATAGAAGCATTTAAGAAGTGCATAAATTAAAGGGAAGAAATGGTGAAATTACCTGAATTGGGAAAAGTTTAGTGATTCCTCTCTTAACAAGAGTTTCAACCAGTCTTTGAGGCAACCCCAGTCTACGAACTGAAAGTTCATCATCATCGTCATCATTACCATCATCAATGGAGGCTTGAAATTCAGACTCATCGTCATACTCAGCGTCACCATCGTCTTCCAAAGAAGAACCTTCATCGAACACACCAAGACCCTTAAACGCCTCCTCACTAAGAACTGAATTCCGCGCCGCAATTGCCGAAGCCACGAAAGCAGAACCACCTCCGCCGACGCCGGCGCTACTATGTCTGAGTCTGGATAGGGAAGTGAAGTGGGTTTTATCGGAAGACAACGCAAAAGCTAAAGGGGATGAAGGTGTGGTGGTTTTCTTCGAGATATGCTCTAGTGAAGAAGGCGTTTTCGGGAAAATGGAGGAGACGCCTATGATGGAGGAAGAACACGACATGATGGTGGTGCTGGTGGCGGGATTTCGGAAAAGGATAGGAAGATAAGGGTGAGAGGTTTATGGATGTATGGTAGTGCAGACCTCTACCTCTTGCCTGTGACTAAACCCACGAATTTATAGTACCCCATTTTTGTTTGTTTCTCGAGTGATTTTACTGGATATTTAGCCAAGAGTATACGTATATAGGATTATGATTTTGCAAATTATTTCGTTTAATATAGTTTCTGTTAATGTAAATTAAACATTTGGTTAATTATGTGTTGGAAGTTGGAACTTTGTTTTATGCATTCTGACCTAAACTCACAAAATTCTTTCTCAAATTCAAGATCAAGTTTGGGATTCAAGGACTTTATGTAAAAAGACTTTCTCCAAAACTAATTTTTTTAAATATGTTTGGTTTAATTTTTAAAGAGCAAAAATCAAAACTTGTTTTTAAAAAATGTTTGATTTAACTTTTAGATGTAAAATAACTAAAAATGATATGGTTACTATTTTACATTATTTTATACATAACAATTTTTTACGTATAATTTATAATTTTGTAATTTTTTTATTAGACCATGATAATATTTAAATTACGTTTATACAAAAGCAAAATACAAATTGTAAATAATTCATAAAGAAGATCATAAATTAAGTTCATACAAAAACAAAATACAAATCGTAAATAATTCATAAAGAATATCACAGAAAGTGTCATATTACATTCATCTCTGCAATGTGATTATATCTTCTGCAATAACATCTCGTATCGTTGCCATATACGAATCGTTATCACTCGTGCGACATGTACTTGGACCTTCTTCATAAACTTCACTACTACTACCATCTCGTGTGGGATTGTAGGATTCTTCTTGTGCCCTATTGAATGCTTCATCAAACCTGCCAAACTTTCTAATATAGTTATGGATCGTCATTGATGCTATCGCAATTCTCACTTGGCTCTTGTACTTGTAATTAACATGCATGTCTCTTAATAGTGCCCACCTAGCTTTCCACACTCAAAAAGTTCGTTTAATGATGAGTGGAGATAGTTAAATTTCTCTTTTTGGTCCATGAGGTTCACATATAGCAGTTGTGTGTCCACGTCGAAAATCTGGTATATGATAACGAATATTAGCACCTTTGTATGGAGCAATATACCCTCTGGTATTTGGATATCCGGCATCAACAACATAATATTTATTTGTAAATAAAGCAAACATTTGTTATTCATAATATTAAAAACATAAAAATCGTGTTACTGAAAAACTTATATTAACCACCCGTTGGATATGGAAATTTATAATCTGGTTTTTGTAAGGCTTCATTAAAAACTTTAGTGTCATGTGCAGTTCCCTCCCAACCGGCCAACACAAATGTAAAACACAAGTTGAAATCACAAACAACCATTATATTTTGTGTTACATATCCCTTTCGACCAATGTACTTCGCTTCCTCTTTTTGTGGAACTGATGCCTAACATGTGTCCTATCTATAGCACCAATGCAATCCTTCAAATACAAAAAGATATCAATAAAAAATAATTTGTTACAGTTTGACTACCACGTAACTGAACATTGGACGATACCTTGAACATTGGATGATATCGAGGGTTATTTAATATATATTCGGGAACATCATCATTATAGTTTGCATTTGGCTTTATGATGTCAACACTCAGTTTTAGCACGACTTTCATAACTGTATGGAAATTCCTATGAATCATTTCCCCCGAATGATTAATTTTTTTTTGCACAAAACTATTGCTACACCCATGAGCCAAAGTCATCAAGAATATTCCAACAGACTCCTTAATAGATATATTCTTTGTTTGTTGCAATCCGTAATTTGTAGCAAGATCTATGCATAACTGTCTAAAAACGGGTACGCGTAGTCTAAATATCTCATAACATCGCCTAAGATGGCCATTTAGTACCTCGTTAATAAACATGTGTCATGTGCGGTCTAAAGTGTGACATGGCCTAGGTACATTACGAGCTAGTATTATCCCTTTCAAAGCTAATCCACATAACATTTTAAATTCTCTATCCTCTTCCAACCAACTTTCGTCATTGTCATCACTAGCCATCCTACATAATACAAGTATAAAGATGCCAAACAATAACACATAACGACAAACAATGATACATATTATAAAATGTCGAATACATAATGTCAAATGACAAACACATAATGTCAAAGCATAACACATAATGACAAATCATTACTTCATAATAAACTTAAGGAACTCAATATTGGCTTCATCAATCGTTAGAAACATAAAAGCATCACGATTTTCCTTTTTGGTAAAGGTAGCCAATGCTGCGAAAAATCTTTGGCCCCTTCACGAAACTCCGGAAACTTGATGACAATGGCCATGCAATCTGGTATTGTTGGGGGAAGATTATTTTGTGGAAACGTTTGTGTGCTTTTTGTCGATATGGCCTCCAATAAAGCATCTACTTTTTCCTCATACACAGAACTTTTACTCTTGGTTGAACGGTTGTTAGAAAAGGACATTTTCTTCTTCCTTTTAGTTGAGCTACTTTCAGGGAAATTAGGGAAAAGGCTCATCATCATCTAAATTAATTACATTACTATCTCATTTGCCCTCCATATTTTCTTCATTCAGATTGCTATTGTTTTAAGACAAAACTGCAAAAATGATCCCTGTGGTATGCATTTTTTTGGGGTTTTAGTCCAAACCACAACTTTTTTGGATTCGTGGTCCTTTTGAGGTAGTTTCGTTGCGTTTTCGGTCCCTCGGTAAATTAAAATAACTGTAATGCCCTTGGGGTATTTATTTTCTATTTTTCTTTCATTTTTTTTAAATCTTATATTCATTTATTTATTTAAAAATTTTAAAAATAAGTGGGCTCTCTCTCTCTCTCTCTCTCTCTCTCTCTCTCTCTCTCTTTTCGATGCATACCTATTGAGTAAAAATATCCAGAAAATTATGAATCTAGAAATCAGATTACAAATTTAGAGCATATTAGATATTCAATATTCCAAGCTACAGAAGAATCCAAGGGTAAAGGTTCATATCAGTTCACGAAACAAAGTGTCATAGTAGATTCAACACCAGAAAATAAATTTGCTGCAAATTCATGACTAGAAAAAAAAATACTCATAGGCTCATAGAAGATTCAAGGAACATATTCATACGAGTTCAAGAAACAAAAATTACAATCACCAAAATTAAATTACAATTGCCATAGAGATCATATTATAGTTTTTTTCTAAGAATGGGAGATTAAACCTAAAAGTAACAAGGTGGGTTCAATCGAAGAGCTTGAAGAAGAATAGAAGTGTAGATGCCCTACATATCTTGAAGAAGAATCCAATTGTCGATGCCCTGCATCTCTCGAATAGGAATCGACTGATGCTCTTGTTAGATTGATTTTGGTTCAATTGAAGGAGAAATCAAACACCTCACATGCTAGTGAATCCAAACACTGTTTCCTGGGTACCTGGTAATTCACAACTTAAAAAACCCAATTCAAATTCCAATCATTTGATTCAAACTTTGTGGATTTAAAATTCGAGCAAAGCATTGAAGGCACTAAAATCGCTAGTGTATATTCAAGCAGTTGTGAGAGGTTATTTAGTGAGAAAAGAAGCAACAATGTGACCCAAGATGTTGATGGCGACATTACTAAAGGATACGATATCGGAAAACTGAGCGGTTCTTAAATCGGGGGAGACGGAACTGCTGTTGGTGGGGAACTGTAACGACCAAAAATTTCAATAAAGTTGCAACTTTTCAAAACATCCCAATTTCTTTAAGTTTTTACAAAAAGGTTTTCAATACATTTATTATCATAGTATTCCTAGAACCATAACATAAAACATAAACACGAGGAGTGGTACGATCATGCCTTTGCCATGCCACGGACTCCTGAAGAACCTGAAAAACATTAAACCACAACTGTAAGCCCGAAAGCTTAGTGAGATACCCCCAAAATACCAATCGCATATACCATACACACATAACATGTTATATCATAACAAATCACAGAACAATCATGCATATCGGGTCTACTGTGTGACTGGTCCGCCGCATCGGGCCTTCAGTCCACCTGGTCCACCCTCCGAGTCTAGTCATGAACCTTGAGTCTGCAGTGTGGTTGGTTCGCCCACACCGGGCCTTCAACCCACTTGGTCCACTCTCTGAATCTACAGTATGACTGGTCCGTCGGTACCGTGCCTTCAGTCGGCCTGGTCCACTCTCTGAGCCTCGGCACGTCTGGTCCGCCCTCGTGGGGCCTACAGCCTATCCAGACCGCTCGCTGGGACTTCGGAGTAACCGGTCCGCCCTGGGTATGTTGGCCTACAACACAAAGCAGGTCCCGCCTCAACCCAACCCCAGTCAAACAGCCATGTACACATAAACATACAATCATATAACAGTTCACATTCAATTAAACCGATCTAGCAGATCACATATCATAACATGCTATAAATAGGATACCGACCTAACAGGTCACTAGCATATACCATCCTAATACCCGGATGCAAACATAACAAGGCAACAACATAACAACGATACCCGGATTACAATCCGATAAAGGGTCGGCCTTGGTGCCTTAGACCCTGTTGATATAGTAAGGATAACTCACCTCGCGATTGCCGAAACTTTGAACTGAAGAAGCAGATTCCCGAATCACCGACTCACCGAAAATCCCGAACTAGCCATCATAACAAAATAATCATTAGGCCAAACATACATCCACTTATTGGGCCAAGGCCAAAGTCCAAATCTTCTACAAAGCCCAATATTGGCCCAATTTGCTAAATTGGGCCATCCTCACCAAATGGGCCTAGATCCAAGGTCCATAATAATAATTGGGCCCAACTACTCTATCCATACTGTTCACTCAAGGTCCAATCTTATTAGCCCAATGACAGCCCGAACAAACAAGGCCCAAACTTAAAACGCCACAGAGGGGGTACGCTGGGCGTACCCTTCTTGGTACGCTAGGCGTACAACAATGCTCGCAAAAATGGGATCGGGGCACTAGCCCGCTACGCTGGGCGTACTCCCATGTTACGCAGGGCGTAACCTCGTGGTTCAACAAATCCATGCAACTACTTAATGGCTTAAGCTATTAAGCCCAAACTTCAGATCCTTAGGCCAAATATGATTAGGATTCATAAAGTCTCAAACTTTATAACTTGGGACATCCATAAAGCTCT